GCGCTCGATGAGCGAGCCGCCGCCGTTGGTGGAGCCGAGCGAGGCGGGCATGCCGAGTGGGGGGCCTGTGTGCGCGGAGGTTAGCATGCATGCATTATTTCGTTCATTCCTGGTCCCTCCTCCGTCCGCCCGATGCAAAACGGGCGGAGAGCGAGGAACGTCGCCCGCAGGTAATAAAGCAGTAAAGCAGACAAATGACTCACCAATCCCCATCCCCCCCAACCCCATCCCCCCAAACTTCGCCTCCACCGGACTCCCATACCCGCCCCCATTAATCCCGCCGTTATTCATCCCCATAATCCCCCCATTCGCCGAGTACATGCCCCCCAGGTGCGATTGTTGCTGTTGCTGCTGTTGCTGCTGTTGGCCGTGGTGCGATTGTTGGTGCGATTGGGAGTGGGGGGAGTGCATGTGCAGCCCGCCCATGCCGCCGTGCGCGCCGTGGTGCATCGGGACGCCTAAAAAACGTAAACGTATTAATTATTATTATTATTATAATCGGTATAAGGAGAGGAACGAAGGAGTAGAGAGGTACGCACCACCATGCATCCCGCCCCCCATATGCCCATGCAGACTCCCCAAATGCGGCGAGTGCAGCCCATGCGGCGAGTTGAGGCTGTGCGGCGAGTTGAGAGAGTGCGGCGAGTTGAGGGAGTGGAGCGAGCCGAGGGAGGGGAGCGAGGGGAGCGAGGTGAGGGAGGGGAGGGAGTCGGGGGTGGCGTGCGTGTGGGGGTAGTCGCTGAAGGGAAATCGTAAGCATCGGGTGGTTATTTGGATTGGATTTGGGAGGGATGGAGAGCGAGGAAGGAAGGAAGGAAGGAAGGAAGGAATTAGAAGGAAAGTGCGCGATGATCTTTCCGAGACCGTACACGTGAATAAGCGCCAGCGCCCACCAAAGATAGGACAAGCGCCCAAGTCCAGGCCGAGCGATCGATGTCTGCCCATCACAAGCGCCTACCGATTTCCGTCGGTAAACCGACGACGCATGGCGGACCGCAGAACGCAGAACGACTAGACATCGCAACAGCACCCGCGCACTCTCGGTCGTGGGCCGCCCCACGATCACCAACACTCCACGTACTCGCAGCGACGAGCATCGAAACTCCGGCGCGACGGCACACGAAGGCGCACCTGCATCGACGACGGACACCACAGCACCATGACCACGACCACACCCACAACACCCACAACACAGCACTGGCGCCGTCCCGCGCAGACTCGTTTGTGCATTTCGCCGCCGCGCTGCGCATGTGCGAATGCGATCCTCGTCTCCGCATCGAGCGTCGAGCGTCGACCACGATAACGCCCGACGTGCGCGCGTCCCTCCCCACTCTTCCCGGTAGCAAGTAGACGAAGCGAAGTAACTCACCCAAACCACCCCCCCTGCCCCGCCCCGGCGCCCTGCGCGTGCTGGTACGGCGAGCCGCGGTGTGTGTTCGGGGCGTTGCCTGCGTTATTCAATTTGGTTAGCACGGGATTAGGACAAGGCAAAATAAAATAAACAAAATAAAAGAAAAATATATATTATCACAAGGCGGGAGGAGCCAAGGAAGAAAGAAAGAAAGAAGGAAGGAAGGAAGATCGTCGTCGTCGCGCAAAGACCTCGACCCAAACCAAACGTCTAGCCACAACCGTAGCCGTAGCCACAGCCGACGAAAGAACAAGTGGTCGTCGTCGGCGTCGTCGTCGTGTAGTGAAGAACGCATAAGACAAGTAAAGCGAAGGGAGAAGAAGGTCTCGATTGTGCGTATGTAGCCGAAGGAAGACGACCCAAAAAAAGCAGAACAAGGACGAGACCAAGAGCCTGGCCTATAAAGGCCTCGATCGAATGCCGTAGCGAAGGAAGAAGAAGACGCCAAAAAGCCAAGGCCAAGCGAAGGAAGCCGTCGCCGACGCGAGGAAGCTCGAGTCGTCAGCGCCACGAAACGTGGGTGGGCAAGCGAGACGAAGTCGCGAGCAAGGCCAAGCGAAGGACGAGGTCATCGTGTCGCGTAGTGAACGAAAGAAAGAGAAGAACGCGCCGCCGACGGCACGAGAAGTGGCCCAGGAACTCGACGAAGAAAAAGAAGATCGTCGTCGTCGCGTAGCGAAAGAAGCGAGCAACCCAAGGCAACGCGAAAAAAAAAAAAAAAAAGGTGGAAAGTGCGGGGTTAATGCGGGGTAGGAGTAGACGTACGCATAAACGAATAAACGAATAAACAAGATAAGGATAAAGCCCGACCGACTGGACTCGAAGAACACAAGTCGTCGCGGCGGCGTCTCGCAATTCAAATCGCCCGACTGGACTCGAAACACAAGTCAAGTCGTCGCTCGACGATCCCCGGGTATTTGCATTACCGACGCCGTCGATCAATTGGCAACAACGCAACGCAACGCAACGCGGGGTAAGCAGTATGGGGTAATCCCGCCCGTCCCCGCCCCGCCCCCGCCGGGCTAGGGGTGGATGGATACCCAAAAGGCAGTGATAGGCGACGAAAAATCCAAAATATAGAGGAGAGGGTAATAATAGCGCCCAAAAAATAACCCGGGTAAACTAGGTCCGAAGAAGTGAAGTGAAGTGAAGTATGACAACGAAACGAAAAAAGAAAAACGAAATGAAGTGGAGTGGAGTGGGGTATGGCAGCGGCGCAAAAATAAGAAGCAAAGGAAGGCGAAGTGGGCCGGAGTGCAGAACGCAAGATAACGAGTGTAAAAAGAAAAAGATAACACGGGAGGGAGGGAGGAGACTCACCATGGCCACTCGGAATGACGATCGCCTGCGGGACGGGCCGCGGGGGCGGGCTGGTGCTGCTCAGAGATCCATTGCGCCTTGCGCGCGTCGTGCGCGTCGGGCCGCCCGCCGGTGTCGCTGCCAACACCATTAAGTACACCTCCAATCAAAGCAAAGACAGACACGCAAGACTCACGCTGCTGCGCCAAATGCGAGCTCGGCGGCCGACTGCGACTGCGACTGCGACTCGCCTGGGCATGGGGACTCGGGCTGCGGAAGCTCGAGGGGCTGGCCATGCCGTAGCTCCCTGCCCCGCCGCCCCCCGCAGACGAGGGCGGCGGGTGCGGGTCATAGCGCATGCTGCTGTTCAGCGCGGGCAGCGTCGAGTTGAAGTGGTATGGCTGCGGCTCGTGTCCGTTACTCCCGTTCGGGCTGCCGCCTCCGTTGTTGTTGTTGTTGTGCGGGGTGGAGGACGAGGGGAGGGAAAAGTGGCTGGGGAAGGAGGAGGTGGAGGAGGCCGAGGCAGAGTGCTGGTGCTGGTGCGGCGCGCTGATATCAAATATGTTGTGCGTGTGCGGCGGGGGTCTGTACCCGTCCCCGCCGTTGCTGCTGGACGACGAGCCATCGTGGTTGTTGTTGTACCCAACGGGACTCTGCGTGTGGGTGCTCCGCTCGCTGCTCTGGCCAATCAGACTAGCGAGCTCGTCGTTAAAGTCGCCGATGCCGGCGTGGCCCATGCTGCCAAAGATATTGCTGCCGTCGTGTCCGTGGAGGGGCGGGGGGGTGTCGGCGCTGGGGGGCGGGGACGGGAGATGGAAACCCTCCTGCCTCACGTGGGGCTTGTACTGCGCGAATGCAGACGCCATTAAATGCTGTTGATTTGAGTGGAGAGACGCGGACAAGCAAGCGCGATGCACCGATGTGGGGAAAAGTATCTATACCCCGGACCCCGGCCCGTCCCCCATCTCCATTAGAACAGATCGATCTCAATCTAACAACCAATCAACCGCACACACTCTCACGTCAACCGACAGCGGTCCCACTAGGACCCCATCACTTTCCCGCTTGATCGCTGATAGACTTCCACGTTTTCGTTCTTCGACGGGGCGCCCGCGGATCCTTTTCTTCACCTTCGTATCTTTTAGACGAACTTCGTATCCTTTAGACATCCTTTAGACTCGCGATGTCGCGTCCCTGACGCGACGGAAAGAGGTGGATCCCTGATAGACCTGCTTTGTTTGTTCTTCCTCGCGTGCACCTACTCATCTCGCATTTGTCATTAACCATCCGAGGTATTTCTGCGGCTAATCAGGCGGTTAACTGGGTACAATATACCCGGCAAGTCTCCGCCGACGTGCTATGCGCAAATCGTCCTTGTTGCAATTTACCGCCAACTGCCAGCGCCAGCGCGAGTGCCAGTGCCAACTCAGCATCGAGCTCGAGCCCTGCCTGCCTCGGGCCTGTTTTCGGGGGTGCTCGTTGATGGCCCACACCCCTATAGCCACACAACCCTTTCTTTCACCCTCCTCCGGCTGTGTGTCACGCACATTCATCCTCCGCCAACAACCTGCAACAAAACTTCAAACGGTGCCAGTGTTCGGCCGAGCCTGAGCTCAGGGTGAACACCGAGCTACCCTTCCCCTTTGATTTCATTCATTCAACCAAGCGGCCCGGCGACCTCGTACGCGTGGATTTAATTTCATTTATCCAGTATACCCGGATCCCCGAACAAAAAAGCGTTGGTAAGTACTTATGATTGGCGTTTCGGGAAACTCGCGATTGGCAATGGTATGATTGGCGTTTCGCGATGGGATGTGGATATAGGTCCTCGCGACGACGCCGGGGGTAAGCGACGAACAACCCGGCCCATGGCCAGCTCCAAGTACTCAGCTCATGCCCGTTACTTTATCGAATTAAACCCGCCCCTTACTTTGTCGAATTAAACCCACCCACCCACCAACGGCGCTCACAATCGTATTACAGTATAAAGTATACCTCCAAACGAACGAACAATTGACATATAGTAGTATATACATACACTCACTTCTCGATGCGAGGCGAGGCGATGTTCCCTCAGGCTACTACCTTTTCAAATCACCTAACCACACCCACCCACCTACACACTGCTGAAACCAGGTCGACGCACGCACGCAAAGCAAGATAAATCAATCCCGAGTTTATTTATTATTTATTATCTTAATTCCCACGGTTCGAATCCCCCTCCTTTCTTTCAGTCCAATTGCAGTTGCACAGCATGCACACTAGTACTGTTTGTGCAATAAGGAAAAGTGATCTGATAGCACAACGGTTAGTGCCTATACTTGACTTAGGTAGCGTAAAGTAGACGATCTCTGTTCGATTCGGGGTCAGGTCGTGGCCCTTAATTGATCAACTTTTTCCTCAATTCATCCTAAATAAGGAAGTAAGTTATAGTTAGATGCACAGCAGGAGGAAGACACGATAGACGATGATGTCTGTTCAAAATTACGTTCCGGAATCTTTCTTTCTCGTTGTCCCCGCCCAAGTCCAATTGCACAGCACTACTACCCTTTGTGAGGCAAAGGAATAAAGACCTGATGGCACAATGGTTAGTGCTTCTGCTTGACTTAGCACATGAATCGTACGGTTAGCAGAAGATCCCTGTTCGATTCGGGGTCAGGTCATATCATATAGCCTCACCATCTTTTTCTTTTTTTTTTTCAATTCAATTCATGGTTGTAGTCAAATGCACAGCAGAAGGAAGAGCTGGAATCGCAATGACCCTTACCCCGCTGAGGTAGGTCTCTGTTCAATTTTCTTTTAGAACATCTCCTCTCCTTGAGTCCATTGCAGTTGCAGTCAAAGTGCCCCACTATCAGCCTTTTTGAGACAAGGAACAATGACCTGATAGCACAATGGTTAGCGCCTCTGTCCATCTTAGTAGACTTGAAATCTCCAACAGAGGATCCCGTTCGATTCGGGGTCGGGTCATGCTGGGTTAAACTTCACTTTTTTTTTCAACTCAATTCGGTTCATGCCCAGTCAAATGTACAGGCCGGTGAGAACGAGCACAATGACCTTGATGATGTCTGTCTGTCTCTGTTCAAAATTTCTCGCAATCTATTTTTTATCATTGACCCAACCAAGTCCAATTGCGCAGTACTACTAGCCTTTGTGAGGCATGGGAACAATGACCTGATAGCACAATGGTTAGTGCCTCTGTTTGATTGCACCACGTGTAATCTCTCAGTAGATGATCCCCGTTCGATTCGGGGTCAGGTCATATTTCTTCTATAAGGATTTTTGTTCTTCCTCTTCATGGAATCCCTGCTGATTTGTTGCACCGGCGAGAGTAAAACCACTATGTAATCATTCCATTTGGTGAAGTACTGGAGGTGGCTTGGTAGCACAAATAACCCTCCTGAGGTAGGTAGGGTCTCTGTTCAATTTTTCTTTCGGAATGGTTACAAGTCCAGATACAGTCAAAGTACCACACTACTAGCCTTTGTGGATATAAAAATGATGACCTGATAGCACAATGGTCAGTGCCTCTGCTCTATTTAATGTTGCTGTAGATTTTCAACAGATGATCTCCGTTCGATTCGGGGTCAGGTCATGCGGCATTATGTTATACTTTTTTTTTTTCGACTCAATTCAGTTCATGCTCAGTCAAATGCACAGCAGAAGGAAGACCTGGTAGCACGGTAGACTAATCCTACTGAGGTCTCTTGGAATGTATGTATATTTCTTGCTCCCCAGTTTTGGCCCAAGTACAGGTCCAGTTGCAGTCAAAGTACCACACCACGACCTTTATGGGTTTGGGAATAATGACCTAATAGCACAATGGTTAGTGCCTCTGCCCATCTTAGAAGTGTCGAAATCTTCAGCAGATGATCCCTGTTCAACTCGGGGTCAGGTCATGGACAGGAGTCATATCTTTTTCAACAAGAATCTCATTCCCCTTCTCAGAAAGTTGTCCGGTGCCCCGTGCCCCGTATTCTCTTTTGACCGTCCAACAGTGCAGCTATGTAAGAAGTGAAGGCTGAATGAACACAGACCATAATATGCTGGGGTCAAATATTAATTCAACCAGCGGTGAGTCTTCTAGATCTTTTACTGACATACTCCTGTTGCCCTATGAGCACTACATCGAGGACCTGGTAGCACAATGGTTAGTGCCTCTGCCCAACTTTGAGTGAAACTGATGGTTCGGCAGATGATCCCTGTTCAATTCGGGGTCAGGTCATGTATGGTTGTCGGAGGTTTTTTTTTTCGGGGTCAGGTCGTGAGCCTTTATTATACAATCTTTTTTTCCTCAATATTCAATTCATGCCCAGTCAATGCACAGCATGATGGGAATACAGGAAGACCCGATAGACGATGACCCTTGAGGTCTGTTCAAAATTACTTTCTCGGAATGACTTTTCTCATTGAGTTGCAGTTGCACTCAAAGTACACTACTACTACTGCCCTTTGTGGAATGCAGGAATAATGACCTGATAGCATAGTGGTTAGTGCCTCTGCTCAACTTCACCTGTGCTTCAATATTTGGCAGGTGATCCCTGTTCAATTCGGGGTCAGGTCGTGATATATTTCGTTAGAATCTTTTTTCTCTAAAACTGAATTCATGCCAAGTAAGCGAAACGTAGCCGCATTATCAGCCTTCATGAAGTAAAGGATAATGACCTGATAGCACAATGGTTAGTGCTTCTGCTCGACTTAAAATGTGTCATGAATTTTCGCAGATGATCCCCGTTCGATTCGGGGTCAGGTCGTGTCTCATTGCATTGAAGTTTTTTCTTTTCGACTCAATTCATGCCCAGTCAAATGCACAGTATGGTGGAATACAGGAAGACCTGATAGCGCGATGATTCAAAATTACTTTTTCGGAATAGCCCAAGTCCAGTTGCACAGCACCTTGTGAGGCAAACAAACAATGACCTGGTAGCACAATGGTTAGTGCCTCTGCTCATGTTATGGGACTGAGATTTTCAGCAGATGATCCCCGTTCAATTCGGGGTCAGGTCATGAACGGTATTCATCTTTTTCCACCGGAATATCATTTTCTCCTTCGCAGAACGTTATCCGCTAAGCACGTTTTAAGTAAGGCACAGTTAAATACACAGCAGAAGGAGGACCTGATAGCACGATAACCCTTGAGGTCCGTTCAAAATTACTTTTTGGGAATTTGCCCCAACCAAGTCCAGTTGCAACTGAAGTACTATAATAAGCTTTTGTGGATACAGGAGCAGAGACCTAATAGCACAACGGTTGGTGCCTCTGCTCAACTTAAAAAGTGTCATGAATTTTCGCAGATGATCCCTGTTTGATTCGGGGTCAGGTCATATCATTGAGTTGGTTTTTTTCTCTTCCTCTTGGAATCCCTGCTGATTTGTTGCACCGGCGAGAGTACAATACCGCTAATCATACCCTTCTATGTGGTAGCACGATGACCCTGTCTCTGTTCAAAATCACTTTTTTCGGAACAGCTCCAATCCAAGTCCAGTTACAGTCAAGGTACGGCACTACTAGCCTTTGTGAGGTGCATGTAGGAGTAATGACCTGATAGCACAATGGTCAGTGCCTCTGCTCCATTTAATGTTGCTGTAGATTTTCAGCAGATGATCTCTGTTCGATTCGGGGTCAGGTCATGCGGCATTATGTTGAACTTTTTTTTTTCAACTCAATTCAGTTCATGCTAATGAAGTAAGTTGAAGTAAGTCGTAGTCAGTGGTGGGAAGACAGGAAGACCCGATAGACAATGACCCTGCTGAGGTAGGTCTCTGTTCAAGATTTCTCGGAACCTTTCTTTGATTGTTTCTCATTGCCCAACTGTGTTGCACTCAAATGTACCACACTAGTAGCCTTCATGAGGCAAAAGAACAATGACCTGATAGTACAATGGTTAGTGCCTCTGCCCAAACTTGAAACTCATGTCGATGGTTTGGCAGATGATCCCCGTTCGATTCGGGGTCAGGTCAGGTCATGCTGCGTAATTGAATCTTTTTTTCTCCAATTCAATGCAATATAATACAATTCATGCCAAGGAAGTAAGTTGTAATCAAATACACAGTGTTGGTGGGTAGCACAATAGCCCTAGGCCTGCTGAGGTCTGTTCAATTTTTCTTTTCATTCTCATCACCCCAAGTCAGCTGCAGTCAAAGTACCACACCACGACCTTTGTGGGGTGCAGGAGCAATGGCCTGGTAGCACAATGGTTAGTGCCTTTGCTCGATTTAGATAGTGTATCAATGTTTAGCAGATGATCCTTGTTCGATTCGGGGTCAGGTCGTAGGTCTGTATAACTTTTTCTTTTTCTTTGTTCTTCAATTTAATTCATGCTAAGGAAGTTGCAGTCAAATGCACAGCGTTGGTGAGTAGCACAATAGCCTTAGGCCTGCTGAGGTCTGTTCAATTTTTCTTTTCATTCTCATCGCCCAAGTCAGCTGCAGTCAAAGTACCACACCACGACCTTTATGGGCACAGGAACAATGACCTGGTAGCACAATGGTTAGTGCCTCTGCTTGATTTGGATGCCGCGTAATCTTTCAGTAGATGATCCCTGTTTGATTCGGGGTCAGGTCATATCTCTTCATCCGGATTTTTTTGTTCTTCTTCCTCTTAGAATCCCTCCTAAGTTGTTGCACCGGCGAGAGTACAACCACTAATCATTCCATTTGGTGAAGTACTGGAGGTGGCTTGGTAGCACAAATAACCCTCCTGAGGTAGGTAGGGTCTCTGTTCAATTTTTTTTTTCAGAATGGTCACAAGTCCAGATACAGTCAAAGTACTACACTAATAGTAGCTTTTGTGTGGTATATAAATGAAGACCTGATAGCACAATGGTCAGTGCCTCTGCTCCATTTAATGTTGCTGTAGATTTTCAGCAGATGATCTCCGTTCGATTCGGGGTCAGGTCATGCGGCATTATGTGGATTTTTTTTTTTTCAACTCAATTCAGTTCATGCTAATGAAGTAAGTTGAAGTAAGTCGTAGTCAATGGTGGGAAGACAGGAAGACCCGATAGACAATGACCCTGCTGAGGTAGGTCTCTGTTCAAGATTTCTCGGAACCTTTCTTTGATTGTTTCTCATTGCCCAACTGTGTTGCACTCAAATGTACCACACTAGTAGCCTTCATGAGGCAAAAGAACAATGACCTGATAGTACAATGGTTAGTGCCTCTGCCCAAACTTGAAACTCATGTCGATGGTTTGGCAGATGATCCCCGTTTGATTCGGGCTCAGGTCATGGCTTCGTACTTGAATCTTTTTTTCTCCAATTCAATCTAATATAATACAATTCATGCCAAGGAAGTAGGTTGCAGTCAATGCGCAGCAGAAGGGAGCACGATGACACGATAACCCTGCTGAGGTAGGTCTCTGTTCAATTTTTCTTTTCATTCTCATCGCCCGAGTCCAGTTGCAGTCAAAGTACCATACCACAACCTTTATGGGTATAGGAACAATGACCTGATAGCACAATGGTTAGTGCTTCTGCTTAACTTGCGTTGTTGTTGAAATTTTCAACAGAGGATCCCGTTTGATTCGGGGTCAGGTCATGGACAGGAGTCACATCTTTTTCAACAAGAATCTCATTCCCCTTCTCACAACGTTGTCCGGTGCCCCGTATTCTCTTTTGACTGTTCAACTTCTGGGCAGTTGGGTCCTAAGTAGTTGAGAATGACGCTGCTCACTCACTCAGTGTTGAAATCCAATCATGGCCAAATATTCACTTCTTTACTCCTTACGTTAGGACATAGGCCTTAACTCAGAGTTGTCCTATGAACAATGCATCAAGGACCTGGTAGCACAACGGTCAGTGCGTCTGCCCAATTTACATCCGTCAAATCGTGTATAGGCAGATGATCCCTGTTCGATTCGGGGTTAGGTCATGTCTCTTCTTCATTATTTTTGTCACCTCTCTTTTTTAAAAAGATCTTCTGACTCTCCCTCATTCCCCAGAGCTGGGCCTTTTTCAACCATTCAACTTCGTGCAGGTGGAATGAACCGTGGGGAAATTCAACCATGCAGTTCTCTCACTCTTGTCCTACTATTATAATCAAACCAAACACAGGTCAGACTCAACTTTGGGCCAGTGGGCTAATGACCTGGTGCACAATGGTTAGTGCCTCTGCTCAACTTGCAGCGTATACAGAAACATTCGGCAGATGATCCTCGTTTGATTCGGGGTCAGGTCATGAGCTTTCCAGATTCTGTTTTTTTTGCTCTTTGTCAAACGGGTGGCCAGCTTACCTCAGTGTGTGCCTTCGTTCGGCTTTTCTATTGCGCAGCGGCTCTGGAGTCCACTGACATCTAATGTTATCTGGTGAACCGTCGAATTTGAACCGTGGGAATTGATTTCTGTTTTCCCAAAATCGTCCTTGTTCGGAAGCACTCAGCTCGAACCTTGAGGACAGCGATTGCTGAGCTCTCCTAAAGAGCCATGACCGGGAGCATCTTGACCGGCCTCGTCTCATTAGATCTTCAACGCATCAGATTGAACCTTCGAAACCCTGGTATGTATGTACTATGTATGAGTTGCACCTTGCCCAGTGCACTTCAGTTCACCTTAAACCGATACCCGGTTCCCTTCCCGCCGCCTGCTTTCCTTCTAAGAATCTCAACGATCATGCCAACTGAGAGGACCCCGGCCCCTTCTATTTTCATAAGTTAGATTCTATTTCCACTCTTTGTCCCCTTTTTCAGTCTTGACATGTTACGCAATTCGCGCGGGAGGTGTTGAGTTCCGTTTACGGAAGTGCCAGATTTCTTGACACCGACAAGCGGCGATTTCGCCGCCCAAAAGCCCTCAAGCCGGGGTACGTAAAGCGTAAGACGGCAATTAATTGAATGGGTCAGTGACACCGTGGGTCGATGTGCATGAAGATCTGTGGGAAGGGCGACAACTACGCGGGAGTCGCAAAAGGAAGTTTTGAACGGGATTTTGAACGGGGGTGAATGTTAATTGTGACTGGGGTGGTTGGTTGAACGACCGTTGAATTTCGAGCGGTTGTGTATGTACATACAGATTCAACACGGTGGAGGACATGCATGTGGACGTCCCCCCGGCATGCCGTCCTGGTCCAGCGTGAATCCAACCACATCTAAAATTCGGGCGTTCAAACCCCGCGATATTTCCACAGCAGTGCCGAGCACAACGGCGGAGGATGGACGTCCCTCCGCGCGGCGGCATGACGTCGTGGTTCAGCGAATCCAACCGCAGAATCCAAACTCGGGTGCTTCCTAATATGCCCACAGGAAGATTAGATCAAGCCAAGATGCATGCGTGCGCGTGGGTATTTACATACAAAGTGATATCCATGTGCTTCCGAAACGGATTCACTCGAGGGGTAAGTTCATCTGTGTACTTTGTTTTGGAAGTTCAACCGAGGGGGGAATAAAGACGCGCTCGGCGCGGACGTTGACTCCAATAGTAATGCCACCATGAGCCGCCCATACTCGAACCGAGCATCGCGAGATAATTCATCATTTCCCAGCGCCACAACGCGGAGAGCCTGAGTATTGTGGGGCTATTATTACCACGATTTAAGCCCCTGGGCGTGGTTCTGCCGCCGGGAACAGTTACTGTAATGCGGGATCGAGCGCAGAGAGGTGGTGTCGGATGACCGGCGGCGTCTTGAGGGGACGGCAGACGGTTTAGTTGAAATCATCACAGACATGTGTTTCGAAGGTTGAATTCTCCTTGGATATCTTATTGACATTGATTCGAGGCTACGCAAGTCACTCGTACCCCGGCATTTCAGCATCCGAACAAGCACGTTGCACTGAAAGAAAGGGGAGGGAAACTAAAATCGAACCACGCACCTGCAATGATCCCAATATCACCCAAACCGTAATCGTAAACAAATCACCCGGAGCCGGCTGTAGTTTCGTCAATTTAGCTTTCTTTCAACGAACTTGCGCTTCCGAGATATTTCGTTCATAGGAAACAATACCGGTACAATTGCAGCTAAATTAAGACAAGTAAGTAAGTACCTGGGAAGAGTTACTTCCAGCGGCCCGGGCGAACCCGCCTTCGACGAACCATCTAACATGGAAAAGGAAGTGAATAACCGAGACTAAGGATTGTAGGAAGTGAGAATTGAACCGAGCCAAAGGACGCGGGACCAACACTGGAAGGAAAGAAGAACCAAGAAAACAGACGAAACCTTAACGACGTCATCGATTGACTTGTTGCTTGTTGACATCCAAAAAAAAGAACTTCGAAGCCGAGGAGGCGGATAAAGTTGGGAGAAAATCGGTCCCGACGGGTATACATCGGCGAATGCCTGGTTCTTTCAGTTTTGCCAGATTTGTTTAGGTAGGCGCATAGATTGCCGCAGACAAAAATGGGTACGGGTGCGGAGCGGAAGGAAGGGTGGAGAGTGGGAGAGGGCAGGGAGGAAAATTGGTTAGTCCGGACAGGGGCGGCGTTTGACGGCATAACGGCAAGGATGAAGGGCGGGAGCACTGGCGAAATGTATGTATAACGCCAGGGGCGGGGTAGATTACAGCTGGCCGGACCTTGCGCTTGGGGGAAGTTTTGTCGACGACGACCAACGGAGGTCGGAGCGGTGCATTACAAGTTGTAGATAAGTAGCCAGAAGCCGGAATAAGTAACCCATAGCAAGGACGGAGCTACGCGCGCAAAGCCAAGTCGACCAAGCAAAGGCCGGAACCAGTGAAGTATGTTTGTGATAACAAAAGAGTCAAGTCCGCCCTCCGGTGCGGACGAAAGACACCGGGGAGGGTTGCTTAGCCGGAGGAGAGAGCCAAGTCCGGAGTCCGGCACGATTCCGCAGAGGTAAACGCCGGAGCAAGCGAGAAACACGGGCCCCGTTGAAGTGTCGCACGAAAGGACGACTCAAAGCTGTCGAGATAGCGTCGTTGTCCAATCAACGAGCAGTCGGATAGACGGGTAGTGCGACAGAAATCAACATCAGCCACCTATCATTGCCAGTCCCCCGAAAGCGATGGAAGCTGCGAAGCGTTGTAGACAAGTTGAAAAAGGCGTGAACTTGAAGTCTTGAGCCTCCATGTGCACTCCGACTCGCATCTTGGTGGCACAGTGTCAAAGTGGATCCTCGAGAAAAGGTGGACAGACAAAAATCACGAACGCAAGACGCGGCAGAAGATTGTGGGCGCGGTATGCTGGCATCCCGGCCGCACCGCCGTGCCGAGCGGCGAATGTCTGTAAAACGTCGCGCCGCAAGTCCGTTAGAAAACTCGTCGAATCAGAACCTGCAAAACATGATTAACATCTGCGCCCCTCCAAGGCACCACAGAAGTTCAAGTTACCGCACCAAAGCTGGCACCTCCGAATGCGGTCTTCACTCTGCAGAATTCCTCCCGATTTCCCAGATGCCCCATAGCGCCCGACAACCCCGACCCGTAAACACATGCGCGTTCGCCACCATGTGCGCCGCAACCCAATCCGCAACCAATGGCGCACGACCCAATCGAAATCAGAAGAAGATCTGTCTTGTTTTCCGGGTCGGTGCGGTTTATTTGTTTGATTTTCCGTTTAGCCGTATCATAATCCGATGGCGCGGCGGCAACTGCCGGGGCGGGCACAACTATGGCAAGTCGACATTTGGGAGAAACAGGATCGGGCGGGGGTGACGTCAGAAATTGAAATACTCTGCGGGGGTGGCGTGTGGGGAATGCGGGGTAAAGGGGCTAGACTTCTTCGGACCTTGGATAGTTCATCAGTGAAATTCGTTAAAAGAGGGAAGGAAACAGGGAAACATAGGGGCGGATAAAACCCGGCAAATGAAACCCGTAAATGGAGGATGCAAGCGCGCCGTACTTTGGTGGGTGCAGTGAAAGGGGGCGCAGAATATTGCGGAATTCCATCTTGCGATTGTGGCGTTCGTGGCATGGAGTGGGAGTGGATGCAGATGCGGGACCGAATGCGATGCTTACCGGGCGCATCTGAGAGAATGTGGATGAACTTTGGACCACCGTAGGCAGCTTGAACGGATGAATCCCGACGTGGGCGTGTGGATTCAATTGGGCAGAACTGAGCGCAAGGTTAACACACACATTAGTTCAATAGAGACTCAGGGCAATGGTCAACGGACCGACACACCGATGTACATAGAACCCTTCACAAAGTCGACATTCCTCTCGGCAGACAGGCGTAATCGATGCAGCGAATGGCTGCTTTGGGACACCCCGTATCATATCTCCGGGACCCGACGTCTGATGGGTGCAGATCTAGATAGCCATCCTAAATGAGCCTATTTCTTGGACGTGCTGGCAGGATCCTGCAGGATCTCGCGAGTCGCAGCGATTTAGAATGTAGCACCAACAAATATCAAACTGCCAGCAACAACATCGACAGAAAACAAGACAAATCCGTGAAGCACAGGGCGATTGCACCCGTTCGTATTTGAAAACGCACCAAAAAATCATTCCCCATTTCCGCAACCCTTATTTTCCGGCCGAAACGTCCCTCCATTAATATTGCCCACGCTGCATAACGACGACGAGAGGGGCCCGCGTTGGCCGATATGCAGACCCCAGACACCGCTCGCATGAACGAATTAACCGCCGGAAGGATGCCAGGAAGGAGTGCGCCCGTAGGACGCTGCTGGTTGGCTGGGAAGCAGACGCGGCCGGGTCGTTGGCCGTCTGGTCCGCCAGCGAATATGCGGCGCCGTGATTGGTGCTTCAAGACTTGAGTGTGTCCGCGGTAAGAGGTGAGCGCGCACCGCGGCGGGTGGATGCAAGTTACATGGGCGGGAGGAAGGTGGGGAAAGGAAAAAGGGACAGCCACGACTGGGCTAGGCTTTATACGTCGCCGCGTCTTATCGCAGGTGACTAGTCCCTAGATCACAATGGCAGATCAGCTGTGGAGGCCTTCAACGGTCATGGGCCTCACCCGACG